CATCCGTTCTACGCTATTAAACCGATTTGTTTAATTATTCCAATTTATTTAGAAACTATTGAATGGAATTCGTCATCATACATTCCACAGAATACAACGGATAGCTTGCATGCAACTAGACAATTTTGACTTCGCAGATCACCCATACACACCAAAAAATTTAGGTGAAGACAATGTAGCAGCATTCGCTGGATCAGTAGATTTCAACATACACAAGGGAAAAACCAAAATCCTCAAATACAGCACAGCGAGCACTGACCAAATCACACTTGGTGGAGAGTTTCTGAAAGAGATGGACAGTTTTACGTACCCGGTCAGCATCATCGATAGAAAAGGAGGATCCAGTGCAGATGTAAAGGCATGGATCAGAAAAGTAAGAGCAGTATTTCTATAGTTGAAGAACATATGGAACTCAAAATAACTGCTAACCAATATCAAAGTGAAAATGTTCAATACGAACATCAAGACAGTTCTCCTGTATAGAGTTGAAACTTGCAGAACCATCACAACCATCATCAAAAACGCACAATTATTTCTAAACAATTTTCTATGCAAGATAGTAAATGTCCATTGACCGGTGATATCAGCGAAGACCTATTGTGGAAGAAAACGAGCCAGCTTCCAGTTGAAGAGGAGATTAGGAAAATACACTGGAGGTGGATGGGTCATACATTGGAGAAATCGTCAAACTGCATCCAGAGACAAGTGTTAACTTGGAATCTTGAAGGGAAATGGAAAAGAGGAAGGTGGAAGAACACACTGCGTCAAGAATCGGAAGCAGATATGGAAAGGATAAATGGCAACTGGAAACAATTGGGAAGGATTGTCCAGGATAGATTTGGACGGAAATTGTTGGTGGGTGGCCTATACACTTCCACGAAGGGTAACAGGTGTAAGTAAATATATTACTATGTGTGATAGTTAAAATTCTGACATTCAAAACATATCTCGAGTAGAATGTATAGGACGATAAAGTACGAATTATGAAATGATCTGAAATTTTATTATATAGACGAAGACACAGAATGAATACATCTGTACCTCCGCGACAGGTTTCCAGATATGTGTTACATAAGGTTTCTATATAACCTATAGTTATGTATGAAGTCATTGATAACATTAAATGATTATCACATTATCGTATATTGTCTGAATTTTAAAATGTGGACGATCAAATTCCAACTTAATGCTTTCAAGATATTGTACTCATTGTGAAATCTATATATCCGGAACTCGACACCTGGATTAGTCTTTAGTGTTCATTTTTGAAGATTTAGTTCTAGATTAGAATGAACCATCAGTTCACTGCTCCATAATTTTTATTGGTTATTCAACCGATAACAGTTTTTTTTTACAAAAAATCCTCAATATGATGGAAAATAACAGTGTGTATTTATTTCATTTCACTCACATGTTTCACGCGCTCTGTTTTATTCTCTCTGATCAATCCTGTTTTGAATATAAACAATTTGACAATATGCATAAATCACTGTTGATCATTATTATTATTGGTATATATATATATATTTAAACAGCTGTAGAGGCTAGATGTGGTGTTGCCCCATTCATTCGTTATCTCCATCTAATTTTACTGTATTCATTTTCTTTTTAAAACTATATTCTGATTATTTATTTTACCATTATAGTAATAATGATTTCAGTTTTCATTTCTTTGCCTTTTATGTCGTTAGTTTATTACCTTTCTCTCTTTCTCATCACGGGAGCAGTCCCGTAATAGGATAAAACAATCGTCTAGTGTTTCTAGGTTATTAATGATAGTCTAACATTTATCGACGCATGATTTCAATGAAACTTAACAATCTTTAACAACCCTATATTTATAATCACAAAACATTACAATACAGAATATGTTTATCTGCTTAATGAAAATACTACTATTTCAATATAATTTAGTAAACAGTATTATAAAATCACTTTTAAACAAACTAAATGTTTTGTTATAAACAAAGGAATCAATGAAAACAAAACACAACAATGCACCAACTAGAATAGACTATAGAATAGAACTAGAGAATTGAAATGTCTACATTGTCTTAAAATAATGACATGAAAATAAAATGAAATGTTAATCACAAAAAAAATCAAAAAAAATTTACATGTTAACTAAAGCAAAATGTGAAAAAAAAACACAAAAACAAATAAAGTTGCACGATGTATTTTATTTTAAATGTGAAATACCGAAAAATAATTTAGTAATGAATTCAAAGATTTTCAACTAGAGGATATTTCTAAGCAATGATGGATGGTGGCTAGCAGTGGAATCCAGGATGCGCGTTTCGTCCTATTTGGGACTCGTCAGCTGGATGTACCTTCATCTCAGAGTTGATGGTCACTCTGGGACTCGAACTCAGAGCTGATCAATTCAAACGACATCGTGTTACCCAATTAGCTACAGATTCCTAATAGCCACTTGCTTGTGCAATGCGGTGAATTTGAATTCACTTGGTGTTGTTATAAATTAAGTAAGTAAATGTAAGTGAATAATCGTTAATTTTCTTCTTTTTTTGTTTGTCATATCCCAATAAGTAAAAAGATTATATTGTATCTGACATTTTGTGACTTAATTGTAAGCCATTTCTTTAGAGTAAACCAATAATTGATTATGGTAACCATACTTGTGATATTTACATACTCAAGCGTACTGTGATCTTGATTGTACGAGAAATATTCTACTTTGTTTTCTTTGTACTATTTAAATTTGTGTTAATTTTATTTCGGTTATTGATTCGTTCCGAAGAGGGGGTTTAAATTAAGTCACAAAACGTCAGAAATATAATTTTTCTACTTATTGGGATATAACAAAAAAAAAGAAAATAAACATTTATTATTAACTTTCTACCCAATGATCAATGTATTTGAAGCTATCAAGTTTAACCTTGGTATTGATATTTACGAAAAGAATGACTCGTTGAGTAATTGAAACCTTTAATTTTCAACTGTTAAATTCGTAAGTTCAAATTACATCTATTCCATCTATTATTATACAGTTTTGACAGATAGAATAGTATCATTTTGATACCCGGTATCTGACTTCAACTGTATCGGAGGAACACAATCATCATATTTTTGGCCAGCTGATCTGACTCCGATTTGAATCGATGTATTAGTAAGTTATGAACATAAATCTTCCATTTAACTCCGTATATTACTTAGGCTAACCCCGTTTGTGTGACAACGGTAATAAGAAGCCAAATACGGGTTGAGTTAGAGGAATTTATTTCAAGGATCTGTTTATCCAAACAGATATTCAGAATAAAAAGCGATTCGAAAAGCTCGTTTGGCTTTTGCCAACTTACGTCACCTATGGCAAAGGTGAGATATCCGTCTATCAATAAAAGGACGAGTATACTGCGCCGCAGTCCGTTCTGTTTTACTTTACGGCAGTGAAACATGGTTTTTAAGAGTAGAAAACACCCGTAAGCTACTAGTATTTGACCACAGATGCCTTAGAAATATTGCTGGCGTCTGGTGGGATCACCAGGTAAGTAATAGGGAGGTCCGACGCAGGGTATTAGGGAATGATGGTAAATCAGTTGATGAGGTTGTGAATCTTCATCGACCGAGATGGTTGGGCCACGTGTTACGTATGCCTGAACACCGATTACCACGACGTGCAATGCTAACCGGTGTAGGGGATGGTTGGAAGAAAGTCAGGGGCGGCCAGACCAAAACGTGGCATCAGTGCTTGAAGTCACTAACTGCTAGTCTGAGCCATGTTGGTAGATGCAGATCACTTGGTTGGGGTCCGCATGACTATCGTAACCAATGGTTGGAGACTCTTGGTGACATGGCTCAGAATCTATCACAATGGCGTCGGTGTATACAATTCCCTTAAACTAAGGGATTAAAATCACTTCATATCTTTCTTACTACTAACTAATTCTTGTTTCCTATACTATATCCTTATTGCAATCTTTTTCCTATATATTACCACCTTTGACATAACCCCTCCTATGAATCCGGTGTTCATCTTGCTGTGCTAATGAGGTATGGCAACCTGGACCGATGCACATATGTGTCTCGTCCTACGTTGTAGCTGACTGACTGACTGATAAAAAGCGAGAGGGTGAAGTGGAGAACGCAAGTGAGCCAACTCGTTTTGATAAAGCGAGACTCCATATTTATATTCAGACAAAAATAAGTTACAGACACAAAATGAATAGGATGTGAGTAATTAACACACATACGCTCATATAAAAACACTCAAGGTTAATAAGTGAATAATTAACAAAGTCAAAATGTGATTTAACATGAATAAATAAGTCGCTTTGTTCGGAAACTAGTACAATCGATGTGAACTTGACATAGGATTAAACACTACATCACTACTAGTCATTATCACAAATAAAAAAATACCTATCACAACGTCAAGTATACGTTTGTTTGAATACGGTCAGTGAGTTTATTTTACCATATATGGTGATTATAATTTAAATCATAGAAGTTTATATTCGCAAATAATGAATGATAAAAAATGAAATTTAATTAAATGATGATCAAAGTAATAATTTAGATCATGAATCGACCGATGTTAGATCACCATTGAAAACCTAGAGCCACTGAACAGCTGTTTCGTTTTAGTGCGGGACTCCTCAGCAGTGCGCTTCTACTATCCTCTTCAGGTAAAGACAGGTATCTACCTCAGACAATGGAAGATGATCACGCATCTTCGTGTATTGGTTGAAGTTAGACATTAACACTATTGGATGCCAGCTCAGTGGATTAGAGATTAAGTGTTCGCGCGCGCGATCGAATGTCCTGGGTTCGAGTCCCTTTGGTGCAGGATGGTGGATGCGCACTGCTGAGGAGTCCCATACTGCGACGAAAAGTCCGTCTAGTGCTTCCAGGTCTTCAATGACGGTCTAACATTGATCGATGGATGATCTTAAGCAAAAAACTTAACAATCCCTACGACCCCATACTGATAATAATAATAATAATGATAATAATAATAATAATAATAATAATAATCAACTTACAGCTTTTTCTGTGATTAAAATTAAAACATCATTACCATTGCATGCTCCAATTTTCCATTTATTTCGAATATTGTTTGCATATTGTACGATTGAAGCATTTTTACTTTAACAATGAGAACGATTCAAGTTTAATTGAATTCAAGATCGAGAAGAAGAAAAAAGCAGAATGAAAAGTTTCAATGATTGAAGAACACTTTTCATAGGCTAAGTGTATTTTCAGTTTGAAGACAATTCTTGATGAGATTATAATTTATGGACGACCTTTGTGCAACGTTAAAATGACCTTAGAATGTCCACCTACTTTACTAGGGTTATGAATTAGTGTGATGAATTAGGATTACGATTTACAGTTGAACGTTAGGCTTACGAACTAGATTTAGTGTTTTCATCATGAACTTAAATCAGCTATAATGCTAAAATGGCATTTAGCCAAATGAGTGAATGAAGTTCGTGCCCACATTCAAGATCTGCTATCTTAAATCTGATTTGTTCACCTATAAATTATAGTCTCGTCCGATTTTTTCCTTAAAACCAACAAAAATTAAACAATCAATGAAATGTATTGCGCTAATATATCACATAGTTCTAATAATCTTCGTCTCCTAATATCATTATCGAAATCAATGAAAATCAAGAATTAAGTGTTTTGTCCCCAGTTTTGGTTTTTTAACGAGATGAATTTGTGATTTCATATGGGATTTAAACTTAACACCATTATGAATGACACGATAATCACATTCAGTTGGTGAGTTGCATTTTGAAGGGCTTAGAATATCCATTCCCAATCTAATTATCACAGCTTCTGACTAGGACATCTGTAGATCCATCTTGAAATTAAGCAATAATCAAAGAACGAGAGTATCATTTAGTCATGGTACAACTGATTAATTACTGAGTAGAGACCAATACTATATATGTCCAGCCCTCTAATACTGACCGAATCCTATCGATCAAGTTACAGTGGGTCCATTAGTATAAGTGACTCAGTATTGAGTGAACGATTTTAAGATATTATGTAACTATCCAAAAGCGTCGGACCTAAGTCTCGTGTTAGTTGGCACTCATCGGCAAGGTTTTTCCGTTATCTTGGGGGAACTCATGAAGTCTGTGTGATTTTAAAACTCTTATCACCCAGTTCCGAAAACTGAGACGCTGCCATTGATCTATTTCGGCTGCAACTGAGATCCTATAGGACCGAGATAGTTAAACTTGATTGACTTCCGAGTAGTGACCAGTAAGTTTTTCTAACCCTTAGTGCTGATTAGATTCAATCAAACAACTTACCCGGGTGTATTGGGTAGATATTTACTTACTTCAAAGATAGTCCTCCTCTCTGATTAATACTGGTTAGAGTAAAACTAGTGAATACTAGAGAGCTGTTTCACCTACGTTCACATTTCTATATAAAGAATGGGGAAAATTGTATGAAGAAGTGTCGTTCAATTTTAATTACCACTGTTTATTCAAAATGGTGATAATATTGACCAGGTTGAATCTACTAACAACAAGACGTATCGCCATACCTAACATAATTGAATGCTAATTATTAAAGACATTTAACAAGTTAAAATGTGGGATACAATTCATTGATTAGTTACATCACCTTGTAATACGTATTTGCTGGCGGAATAAACAACGAACTTTGAGGTTTTATATAAAACTTATTGATGAAGTACAGATTTATTTGTTCGGCTTAGGACCAAACTTTTGTGATATGAAGGCTAGTGATGTTATAGGATAGAGTGGGATTCGAGCATTAAGCCTACTACTCTAAAGCCGATTACTTTAAACACTAAACCACTATATGAATCCTTAAAATCACGAAAACCAAAGAAAATGAAAATAAACGATTAATGAAGTTAATTTGATTTGATTTTCAGAATCGTATCATGCAGAAAGATGGCTGGAAATGTCCAAACAAGAATAGGAGGAATACGATGATATTACTGCTGCATCGATAACTGCAAAGGCAAACCAGAAAGTGTGTAAAAAAGAAAGATTTACGAAACATAAAGAGAAAAATACATATCTATCACATCAAAAATACTAAGTAACTTACTTTGAAAATGGTTTTGAAACTAGGGCTGTTACAACAAGTCTAGCGTTTTGATTAACTTCATTTCTAAAACACGGATGACGACATAAACATGGAGTTTCTCGAGGATAATGTAATAACAATTCATTTATTGATTGTCCTAGAAAAATATTTTATTTAAATTAAATTTGGTTTAACGATTTGATGCTGAAATATCTGAAAATACTGAGATACGATTATTCGGAATGTACATTTAACACGTAGCAATATACCGAACCACTTCATAGCTATTTGGTTTGCAAATAGTAGGAGCAAATGGCAATAGTTGAGTTCAACATTTAATCATATTAATCACACATAGTTGTAACACTACAGAATGGAACTAAAAAACCTCTTAAGTAAACCGTAATACTCAAGAAGAAATTCATAAAAACAAAAATGAATAGATAGGAAACAAATAAGCATATAACTAAAATATGTTTAGTTTAAAAGAATAATACATTTTTAGTATAAGCGCTAGCGATTTCAACCCAATGTTAAAATAAAATTAAGAAAAAAGAGAGGGTTTAGATCTGTAATCCCTAGTAGTTGGAAATTAAAAGCTCTAACTATTAAATCATTACAACAAGGGGGGAATCTTGAAATGTTAATAACTTTGGAAATCATAAGTAATAAACCATTAAAATTTATAAATCTGGCTTGATAGGTTGTTTTTTATTGAAACACTGACAATACTACTTAAGCATTCATCATGATGTACTGATGCAGTATGGTTAGTTAAATCGATGTACATCTATCTCAGGTTCTACAGTGTTGATTTCTAACTACATTACTTTTGTGAGGGCAATATATATATATATATATATATATATATATATATATATATATATATATATATGAAGCATTAGAGTAGATGAGTTCAGTACTTATAAATGGTAATTTCAAGTGTTTAAAGTGAAGTATAGCATGAAAAAGAAGAAAAACGAAATGGCCTGAGAAAATCTTAACGATTTTTTTATTCTAGTTTTTAGTCACAAAAATAAGCAACGCTTAAACCTGTGTATAAGTTTGCGATCATTGAGATTTTATGGAGCTTGAAATGTAAATTAGGCAGAATGACTTTATCTATAATCTACTGGGTTAACTATGCTAATATTCAAATAACTTTAAAGTATTAGAACACGTCTATGTCATTTGAACAGTGATTAAAATTCAACTTGTGACCTTTGATTTTAAATGATTTTAAAACATTGTACTGGACAGGTAGAAGTACTCAATATCTAACAGTAGGGTTGTAGGTCTACAACAAACATCTTTTTTTTCATCATCAGTATAGGGTTAAGGAGATTGTTGAGTTTTGATTAATATCATGAGTCGATCAATGTAAGACCACCATTGAAAACCTGAAAGCACTAGACGGTCGTTTCGTCCTAGTATAGAACTCATCAGCAGTGTACATCCACGATCTCGCAATCGAGAGTCAAAACCAAGATCTTTAGACTCTCACGCGAACGCTTAGACTCTAGACCACTGAGCAGGCATCCAACGGTGTTAATGTCTAACTTCAACCAATCCACGATACTGTGCGACCGTCTACCACTGTTCTCAGTGAGTAACTGCCCCACAACAGACACAGTTGAATTCAACTGGTCATGGCTTCTCGCTAGAACTCCAGAAAATCTATCTTGCAGCTAGCCACTAGTGAGCACATGATACTAGAACGAAACGGCTGTCCAGTGCTTTCAGGTTTTCAGTGGTGGTCTAAAATCGATCCATTCATGACATCAACCGTTTTCAGTTGCAATAATAGGGTAGTAACTTAACCCTTAACATATACATGAACAACTATAACTTTAAGTTAAGTACACATATCTATGTACAGTTATAAAGTTACACGTCATTATCACTTATTAACACAATGGACGAATAGAAAAATAATCTAAATAGAATATAACAAAAATTACATAATGATTATTCATTAGTCTGTATCCGCATATCATTCAATGAACTTCCCAAATTAGAACAAAACACTTGCATACGTTTTTTACGAAATCTTCATAGTAGTGGTAGTGTTAATAATAATAATAATAGATTGCATATCGGTATTTAATTAACATTACTTGCCAATAATATGGAATACTCTACAAGAATGAATTATAATCAATGATGTCCTTCAAAGAAAAATGTTGCGTCGTCTTTAATTTTGTTTATGTAAATATTTTGCATATACATATATATGTATAATAAATGCCACTACCATCTAACAGATGACTTAATCATGTGATAATTAACACATGAGGATAAGATGAAAACCTATTACATACTAACTAATGAATTCCTTAAAAATACAAAACAAGGATTATTCCATAGCTAAGTTTAATCGCATCAAAAATAAATTGACTACATGATGTAATTTGAAAATTAACATTCTAGCTGTAAACTCAAAGCAGAAATTACATTGCTTTCTTTAAATGTAGCGCGAGAAAATTAATGTTTATTCAGTAACTAGAACTTTCAAACATTTTATCTTTTGATGATTTAATGAAGGGGTAACCTTTGTGTTATGTCCTTAGCTCATACGAATATCGCGAAGACATACGATTGCCAATTTAGATACCCTGACTTATATGAACAAACTAATGACGTATACACTAATATCGGCAGTCTAAAGTTCCGATTGGTCGTTTTTCCGCCTAACCATGCCTGTTAAGTCTAGAACGCCAATATTAACCTCCGCTATACGAATCATATATTTCAAACATACTGGGTTTATATACAAACAAATCAGACCACCATACACCATAAAGTAGAAAATAACATTTGTAAAAGATCTATCCAAAAGTGACTGTGATTGTGAGAAAATGTTACTAGTAAATTGGGAATATCTCAAGAATAGTAAATCATATACAGTAACGAATAGGTCAAATAAAAGCTCATAATGAAAGAAATATGAATATACATATAATACAGTCACTTAATAGCCATACAGTAGGAATATTCGTATAATATTAGTCCATAAGTAATTCCTAATCGTTACCATTCATTTATTGCCGTCCGGACATAACAATCTGAAGTAAACTCATAATACTGAAAATGTTGATTAGTCTTAGAAACTTTCGCTTAGAATATATGAAATCTAAAACCATGATTTTTTTGCCGATAGTCCCTAAATATATACCATCAATTTCTGTATATTTTTGACTACTCTAAAGTTGTAGTGGGACAATCTTGACATTATTCAGTTAATAAATTCAAACATTACATCAATTCGAGCTGTTATGTAATAATACCTGGCCTTAAAACAATAAGTGTGGCTAAACATCAAGTGTACAAACTTATAACTAGGCAATGATTTATATCAATCCGATTGAATACTAGTTGTTATATATAATAGATTACTACTGATTTGGTTGTCTGTCAGTTTCTCAGTACTACTTATTTGCATGTTATGCATAACTTAAGATTACATATCTTTATCCTACAATAATTTTCTTAAAATAAAATTTATGATAACTATGTAAATTTATACAGGATGTTTTAAATCATGAAAATTTTTAGTTGTGAACTTATCAATCAATTACTATTCATGGTGTGAAAAAAAATGAGTTCACATTTATTGAGTAGCCTCCTTATTTATGACGATATAATGTTGGCACCCCTGAAATCTAAATAAAATGAGGCGTTTTCTTTTAACCTAATATAATTTGTATGTTAATTACGAGTAAGTACGTACATAATGTATATAACTTGATGACAACACACTGTCCTTTATGTGTTACACCAATAAATTTATTATGAGAAATACACACATTTATGTATCTCATCTAAAGTATATATAATAAAGCTGAAAACAATCTTAAACGTCAGTATAATAACATTGGAAATTTTAACAAGGACTTATAAGTGAGCAGATGTATCAATGTAGCTTACCGCCCAAAAAATAAATATGCCCTAACTCAAATAAGATGTAGGTTGTGCCATATAGATATTTGTTAAAGAATAGGATACCTAGATTGGTGTAACTCTACAAGTAAATAAAACAGACAACAAATTCAGCGACTTCACATAAGTATTTTTCAACTATATATTTATGCATATCAATTATCATTCTACATTTAGCAGTTGTTAAACGCACATCAAACATTCTTACTTTTTTCCGGTATTTCAGGACAATTAACACATTGAATGCAAAAATATATCAATGAAATTCACATATAACGCCTAAATAATTTTAAATTAGATTAGCAAAATGTTTTGCTCTTTGTTTGGCCTGAAACTGGTTCACTTGCCAATTTACATAAATGGACATGTTGACATGATCCCGACATCAAGAGTAAGATTATTGGTTAATTTAGTATGATAATCATTTAATTTAACGTTCGATTATACTTTAACAATTTCAGTCATTAATTAGTTCAGTATGTTATCCTCTTGCAACTTGATAATTTCTATTGTATTCACTCAGTTTGTGACATTTGCTCAGTGTGAAGTTTGTTTTTGAATTACAAATATTCAACTGCGTTTCAGTCATACGCGACGTAGAACCTGGAACATATTTACACAGACTTACGTTGTCACAACTCATTAACAGAGATGGAACTGTCAGGGCAAATCCTATTGATTAGATAGTAACATTATTAGTGATATCAGAAAAGACTAGGCATCGAAATTTACGATTCGATAAGATAATACGGATTAATAGTACAAACATTTTATACGGGAATTAAAGAAGCTTGGGATTTAAGGGGAGATAAAAAGTGGATGCACCTGTGACATTGTGAGCGGTTTTGATTCATGTTACTCAGTGTACAACCGTTGTCTATAATAATCACGCAGACCACAGCCAGGTATTCGTCACCTACTCAATATTTACTGAAAAAATTCCTACATAAAAAATGACATTTCCTCATGAAATGTTTCTGTCGAAGCCGTAGTCCAGGCTTTGTCTCCATTTTGTCTGTTTAATTTGAGGATTAGGTAAAGAGTATTGGGGGAATATGTTTAAAGAGTAATTGTGTGCGCAACCAACTGGTTGCGTTAATATTTTCGAATAGATTAACAAAGAGTAGACTATGAGTCTTTTATAACAAGAGGAAACTAAAACAACGAAATTTATCAGGGATATTTTCACTAACCTAAAGTTCTAAGAACTGATTCAGAGAAACTAGAAAAAACTACTCAACCAGAGACGTAATGATTAGAATTAAAATTATATTTGTATCCCTGCAAGAACGCAAACATACCGATTAGCTCATTTTCAAAGAATCAGCCGTAATGAAAGTAAAAATGTACCACAAGCTTAGTATGTTTTATATGAACATATGGTTTTAAATCCGTATGTACACACTGAAAGTGCCCGAAAGTTGAAGAATACTTTTAAAGAGAATCGAGAGATATGGCTATGTCAGTCAGTCAGCTACAATGTAGGACCAGGCACATATATACATCGATCCAAGTTACCATACCTCATAAGCACAACAAGATGAACACCAAATTCATAGAAGTAGTTACTTTAATGGTAGTAATATATAAGAGAAAGATTGTGTATATTGATATAGTATAGGGAGAAAGAATTAGAAAGGTATAAAGTAATTTTAACCTCACGACTTAAGGGAAGACAAAGGATGTATACACTGACGCTGTTGTGACCGAATCTGAGCCATGTCACCCAGAGTCTCCAACCATTGGTACGATAGTCACGTGGATCCCAACCAAGTAGTCTGCATCTACCAACATGACAGACACCAGAAGTTATTGACTTTATGAACCGGCACCACGTTTTGGTTTGGCCACCCTTAACTTTCTTCCAACCATTCCCAACACTAGTCAGCATTGAGTGTCGTGATAATCGGTGTTCAGGAATACGTAATACGTGGCCCAAACATCTCAGTTGATGAAGATTTACAACCTCATCGTCTGATTTACCATCTTCTGGCTATGTTCTTGACATGTGACGACTTTTTAAAAAATCATTTTGTTAGATTAGAACATACTTGACAGGTATGTTCCTGAAATGTTGTAACTCAATATCGGGAAATTAAAAGAGAGAAAAATGGGGGAAGTTATTCTATAAACAAAGTCACTATTAACGTCTAACGTCCAAACACTATGAACAGTAGCTTTACATGTTAAAAAAAGACAACTAAACTGAGGTGACTCACTAGCAGAATAGTCAAGAATTTTATCAGGATCACAAACGTATCCCTTTTTGTCGAGTCCACATTTCTTGAAGTCTGATGAGTAAGGACTGGGGGGGAATTCGAATTCAACATCTGAACCATTTGAATTATCAATTAACAGAATTAAACTAAAATGCCAAGCAAGAAAGCTTTTGCGGAACATTTCATTTAAATTATGAATGGGATCTGTGTAAAAGAGAATACAAAACAACAGCGATTTGTTTTTACAACGAAAGTGAACAGAACGAAATATATGTGAATTAATACATGGTGAGGCATTTAAAAATATAACTTATGTACAGGCATGTGTAGTGAATTTTGCTGCATTAAATCAGATTCTAGTGTGAAAATTTCATTATTGGCAATCTATCTACTGTTTACGACTCATACTTAATCCCATGTAAACAAAAGCTTTTAAAGCCAAATTAGACAAGTCTCCTGTGTCCTTACTAATTAATGTGAGACATAAGATGGGCTAAACTTTCTCAACTGTTTTGTTAACTCACTATCCGTGCATGTCAAGCAAGTCACCCTTTATGCATATACGGAATTTTGTGCCTATTGAGACAGAAAAATCGTATCCTAAAGTTATGTTGAAAACCTAGGATGAAGAGTATGATTAGTCAGGTGGGAGATTTAAGGATGCTCAAGTTGTTGTTCTGAATTCCTCTCAGCCGTTTCCACTTCAGTAGTTCAGTACCAGTCTAGACATAAAGGGCTCAGCCGAACAAACTAAGTAATACAATGAGTAACTAACGCTAGTCCGTTTGAATAGCCTAGACTCGAAAACAAGAACTCTTTTCGATGAAATGAGGATAAAGAACATTAATTAATAGAGTTAAACGATTTTGAGGTGATTTTTGTTTATTTGATGTTATTCATTTGCCTGGCATTTTTTACGTCTGAACCGCTCAATAAAATGGATCATTCTTCACAAGCTAGCGTTGACAACGATAAACAACAGAAAATGTGCCTATCATCTTACGAGACAATTTAAATTACTGCTACCAACTGTTTCACGTTTGTGAGTGGAAAGACGAGGGGGATAGGAAATGTCACAGGGTGTGAGAAAGAAAATACATTAATACGTGATATTATAACAGAGCTATTTGTCTGGAGTTCAATGGTAGACCGAGATAAGAACTGTCTCCAAAAAAACTTAATCGGTAGTAACTCTAACAATTAGAGAACAAATAGCAATTATGTACCAAAGCGTATACAGTTACTTTATTGTAATCTAAAAAGCAACGGCATAAACACGCTAACTACGCATTTTTAAAATGTTAGCAGCATCGCAAACCCCTAAGTGAATTATTACATACTAAACCGAACCGTACTAAGATCTAGGGTCACTAGAGTATAATATGGTGCCACGATTGTAACGAAGCAATGCAGTGATACATTTCCGACTAAAGGCCCAAAAACCACTTTGTTAAATGAAACATATGGGAATAGATGTAGACTTCGTACAAATAATTCTAAACTTCGTCTGGATGTCGTCCTGAAGAATCTCATGACTAGTTTCTTAAGAGTAGTAGTAGTTCGATCTTCAGTGTGTATGAAGTCCACAAGTACATCATCTGAATTATGGAACATTGAAATCACTCCTTACTGAACATAAAAGAATAACCCTGAATATTGCCTATGAGGATCTTCAGTAAGTGAATGGCAAAATGTTTGAAATACTAACACGAAGAGCAGTAACTTGTTTACGTACTAAAACTTTTAACAATTTCTACTTTCCAAAATTTTATACTATAATAATAATAGTCCTACGAACAATTTATTTTACATCACATAATGTCTAAAGTATATCACGAAATCACCAAAACGATGAAGACCGCCCCCCAAAAAACAACCTTCTTAAACATAGCGCCCTGCCCTTAATAAACTGATATATTTTATTCTATTCTTTAAAACACTGTTGGGAACGCGACTAGATTAGGTAGGAAACACGTCCGTTTCAAAACGAATTACTTTCCCAAATTTGCTTATCATGTAAGGTATCTTACTTGACTTTTAAATATGTATACGTTATGAGAAGTCAGTACTTACAACAATGAAGAATATGAATGAAAATGAATTACACAAGTCACTATTGGGTTCGTCTATGAGGGGCGATATTTTCCAACTCATGTCATAGAAATCTTCTGTATAACTTTCATTTGTGGGATCTGGATCTCCGTTGATCTCAGTCTTGCCTACTGTATTAAATTGTTGTTAAAGTGATGGAAATGATCAGAGTCTAGGAGGAAAAAGCATAACTCGTACAGTCTTTCTGGTCAATAAAACTGCAAAAGTAATCAGTAAAGATGGCGGCGCTATTCTGTGCTTCAAACTATTTTAAATATACGGATTGTTGAAACCGTGGTCCACATTGCCGATATATTTGAACTGATACTGAGTTGGTTGAAACCTGGGATGTAGTTGCAATGCACCAATGCCTTGAATACAACCGAATTTACTGTCTGCTCAATAAGACTCTCAAGGCTAAGCAACAACAGAAGCTCTAAAGTATCTAACTTCAATGCATATTCATTCAAACAATTTGACTCAGAAATGAACTCCTTTGCTCAAAAACAGTAAGGAACCCAGATGTCGTAGTCTGCTGTTCAGAAAATCAAAGATACTGTTTGCTACAATCTCCAGAATTATTCTCCTATCTATGACCTGGCCCTCATCTCAAAGGAAGATATTAGTCAAATGGGGTATTTTGCAATATTTGTGTGAAATAATGACTCCTCGGTACTTGATTCCTCGCTGCTTACGAATGCCAAATATGATGCGCTCGTTTGTGTCCGAAAACATACTGTGAATTTCTCATCTTTGATTGTAGGCCGTCTATCCTGGATCTGGAAGATTTGAGAATGCTTCAAGGAAAACCTTCCTTATTGGTCGCTGAAGACGATTCTAACAAAATACTTGGTAACTTGTTAACTACATAACCAAAGTGAGAATTTCGCATGAATGTAAAGCACTTCCATTCTAGGGCTCGTGTAGGAAGTGTTAAGACTTTGGTAACAAACAAACGAACAAAAATTCAAAGACACAAACAGGGGAATAGATGAAGATTTTCAGTGTGGAATTAAGAAACCAAACTCAGAGTGACCAATAATGAAGTTGATTAAATCAACACTCACTCATCGATGGAGTTATGTAACATATAGTTCTGAAAGAAGCTTGCTTGGGATTCTAAAATAAAAGTGCACTATGCAGAACTTTCTTCGTATGTGCTTCAAATCTGTTACACGCGTGATTTCTATGTTGTACACGCCTTTACACCACAACTCTTAAACCGAAAGTTGAAACCCTCCATGATTAGTACGAGAAGAAAAAACAAACTACTGTTTAACATAACCAAATGAGAAAAATGACATAATAACCGATTTTTCTCATTGTACAGTGTACAAACCACTACTAGCCTTATTAATCTGACATCCGATAATCTAGGCTATATATCACCGATAATTCATAAGGCTAAGCTAGACTATCCAGCAAGACCGAACCATCCAGCTCAGAGAAAAAAGCTCCAAAATAATCCACCCAGGCTACGAATTTTCTCCGTCATTTTTGGAAAGGTATATCATGCCTGATAAATCTGCTCATTGCGAGAGAAGATCGGGCTGAGGCAAAAGAGCGGAATATTTCTGTAAATGTATTTTCTATAGATCAGAGTGAAGCCTTTGATAAGGTAGATTTTAAAAAGTATGGTGCTGCACTTGAATAATTGTGACGATTCGCATCACTGCACAATACATGGACTTTTGTTACATGAAGTAATGGGCGACAAGAATTTATGAGTCATAATAAGCAGCGCTCTCAAAACCACGAGTAACTGTTATGCTGCTGCTGCAAGAGGATATGGGTATTCGTAGGTCTTTTCAGTATTTGAACGTAGAAATATTTAAATTATTATACTTGACTAACGTAAGACCGCATTTGGAATATGTGATTCAAGTACCGAGTCCTTGTTTCAAGTATGAAGCGGATATGCTAGAACGAGTCCAACGACGAGGGATTGAAATGGTAAAATGTCCATCTTGCCTATCTTATGAAGACAGACTGAGACACCTCAACTTTTTTCCATTATCTTACTCTAAAATACCTAAGACTACCCTGTGTTCATAACTCCGCCTATAGCTCTTATAGCGTTACTGCTGGTCTCAAGCCCGGGTAAAGGAGGAGGGTTAAGCATGGAGTTAGTGTCCCCATCCCGTAGAAAACTAACTCACTTAAAAAACGCTTACCAGAAAAAATAATCCAAACCATTTAAACTCTGCCCTGGGAGTTAGAAGGTCTTCATTTAGAAGAATTATGACGCTTCATGGTGAAAGCTGAGTTCCTTCGGAAGCCACAAGGCCGATGCCCCTTCTAACAACCAGAGTAAAAATTTTTATAGGTTCATGGAACGTTCGGACAATGTAGGAGACCGGGAAGACCAGTCAAATAGCAATTGAAATGAGGAGATACAACTTAGCAGTACTGGGAATCAGCGAAACACACTGGAGCCAAGCTGGACGGAAAAGACTAGCTACGGGAGAGATGCTGCTATACTCCGGTCACGAAGAGGACAATGCTCCACACAATCAGGGAGTCGCTCTAATGCTGTCCAAAGTAGCACGAAATGCACTTGTAGGATGGGAATCTCACGGATCCAGAATCATCAAAGAATTATTCAAAACAAAGAAGGAGGGGATCACAACGAATATTATCCAATGTTATGCACCCACCAATGATAGCAACGACGACATTAAAGATCAGTTCTACGAGCGGCTGCAGTCAGTCATTGAGAAATGCCCAAGAAAGGACTTAACTATTCTGATGGGAGATCTAAATGCCAAAGTCGGAATAGACAACACTGAATATGAAGATATTATGGGACGACATGGACTGGGAGAAAGAAACGAAAATGGAGAAAGATTTGTAAATCTATGTGCATTCAACAAATTGGTCATAGAGGGCACAATATTTCCACACAAGCGTATACACAAGGCTACATGGATCTCACCAGACCACATTACAGAGAACCAAATAGATCATATTTGCATCAACAAAAAATTCCGAAGGACAATGGAAGATGTGAGAACCAGGAGAGGTGCTGACATAGCTTCAGATCACCACCTAGTTGTGGCCAATTTAAAACTGAAGCTAAAAAAGAACTGGACAAGTGGACAAACAGCACTACAAAGGTTCAATACAGCCTTCCTTCGAGATACTGACAAACTCAATGAATTCAAGATAGCTCTCAACAACAGGTTCCAAGCCTTACAAAATCTACTGAAAGGAGAAACTACAATGGAGGATAACTGGAAAAGTATCAAGGAAGCATTAACTTCAACGTGTCAAGAGGTTCTGGGTCTAAAGAAATACCATCATAAGGAATGGATCTCTACAGAAACACTGGACAAGATCAAAGAAAGGAAGAATAATAAGGCAGCAATTAACAACAACCGAACACGAGCAGAGAAAGTCCAAGCACAAGCTGAATACATAGAAGCAAACAAACAAGTGAAGAGGAGCATTAGAGCTGACAGGAAGAAATACGTGGAAGAATTAGCAACGACGGCAGAAAAAGCTGCTAGAGAAGGAAATATGAAACAGCTTTACGATACAACGAAGAAACTAGCAGGGAAATACAGTAAACCAGAGAGACCGGTCAAAGACAAAGAAGGCAAGCCAACCACTGAAATTCAACAACAGCGGAACAGATGGGTAGAATACTTTGAGGAACTTCTGAATAGGCCGTCTGAAATGAATCCTCTACCTTCTATTCAAAAAGATTTGGGAGGAGGAACAAGTGCCGATGGACTGGAAAGAAGGGCACCTCGTCAAGATTCCAAAGAAAGGAGATCTGAGCAAATGTGAAAACTACAGAGGCATTACACTGCTGTAAATACCAGGGAAGGTCTTCAACAGAGTGTTGCTGAACCAGATGAAAGATGCAGCAGACGCCCAACTTCGAAATCGACAAGCTGGATTCCGTAAGGATCGATTGTGCACAGACCAAATTGCAACACTACGGATCATCGTCAAACAATCAGTTGAGTGGAACTCATCACTATACATCAACTTCATTGATTATGAAAAAGCATTCGACAGTGTAGATAGGAGGACATTATGGAAACTTCTTTGACACTACGGAGTTCCTGAAAAGATTATCAACATTATCCGGAACTCATATGACGGACTGCAATGCAAAGTCGTGCATGGAGGACAGCTGACAGATGCATTCCAAGTAAGGACCGGAGTCAGGCAAGGCTGTTTACTCTCTCCCTTCCTCTTTCTTCTGGTGGTCGACTGGATTATGAAGACCTCAACATCTGAAGGAAAACACGGCATGCAATGGACAGCTCGAAATCAATTAGACGATTTGGACTTCGCAGATGACCTAGCCCTCCTATCACGTACACACGAAAAGATGCAGATGAAGACAGTCAGCGTAGCAGCAGTCTCTGCTTCAGTAGGCCTGTAGTGGCATTGGACCATAACCACACTATCCTCAAAGCTGAATACGAGATTACTCGGAAAATAGGTATTCAATATTTAACGCGAAGAAATACCTAACGATGGAGAAGGCGCGAATAATGAATTGAATGGACTAGAGTTGATCGAACGGCATGGCTCGGCCATGCAGGCGTGGTCTCTGCTGAATGTTACCTTATATCTTCTTTTCATATTAAATATATTGTTCTTTCTCTAACCTGACCTTGTTCTACATCATGTATTGGTAATTGATACGATACAGTGAGTTGATGTAGTCGATGGTGTGACTTCCACGTAAGATCTTATAGATTAGGCAGTCATATCATGACAAATCTACAAATTTAGGATTAGGTCTATTATTAGAGCAGTACTAATATCATAGTAGATCATAAATTCTACATT